AGAAAGTCAGGCAAGGAGGACAGTAATAATAAAAACTGGAGACTAAGCAATAATTTCAATAATGAGCTTAATTACAGCTGGACTGAGAGAGGCACCTGATGGAGAATGGGACAAAGTACTGGAAAAGAAATGCCATTTGTGTGTGAGCCTGAATCCAGACACATTGCTTATGACACTGCACAATTCATGAAATTCTACACTGAAAGACACATTCAGTGTAGTTCCTTTATTGAACTCCTTCTCCGTAGAATTTTCTCCACATTCCCTGATATTAACTGGCTATTTTTATAGATTCATACTTCATTTCTTCATAATACTGCATTTCTTAATAATGCCTATGTCTTTTGGGATGCGTGGGTGGCTCCGTCTGTTAAGCGTCTGCCTTCGGCTCAGGTCATGATCCCAGGCTCCTGGGATCGAGCCCCGCATCAGGCTCCCTGCTCAGCGGGGAGTCTGCTTCTCCCTCTCACTCTACCTCTTTGCCCCACTCTCAAATAAACAAATAAAATCTTGAAAAAAATAACGTCTCCACCATTCAAAGTCCGCATTACAGCATTTAAGACTCCACACATATACTTCCCACTTGCCGATCACGTGCATGCAGCAGACCAGAAGCTCCCAGAAGGCAGGGCCCTGGCAGGCATGCTTGCTCCTCGTATTCCCAGCACTTGGTGCAGTCCCTGACTCAGAGCAGGCCCATAATAAGCATCTGTTGGAGGCATGAGTAAGTTCTGTCCCCTCAGCTGACTTGGAACAATGTGTTAGAACCCTTACACATTCTTTTGATGTGCGGGTCAGCTCCGTTTTGCCTTCTGAGCCCCCGAGGACCCCAGGTCGGTGGGGGCCGGGGAATGAATGCTCTGCAAATTCATGCTGACTGATTCCTCCATTCCCTGCAAGGCTGTCTTCAGATGCCTGATGCGGACTGGCAGGTTTATAAGAAGACAAGGAGCTGCCATCCGCACGGCATGTCTGAGGGCACGGGAGGCGCCGTGTGAGGTCAAGGGAGTAAATCCGTATTTCTGCCACTTGGACACAGACCCGGTTGCTCGGATGTGATGGGAATCTCGCCTGCTAACGTGGCAAATTTCTCCCCTGGCGGGAGGGTCTCAGTCAGGCTGCTGCCTGCAGTAGCGGAAACTGGCGGGACCGGAGGCATCCTGGGCACCGCTGTCAGGGAGGGAACAAAGGTGAACGCCAGCTTGTGTTGAGGGAGGACTTGGGACTTGGGCCCTCCTAAGGCTTTTATCAAGAAAGAAGAGAAGTGTTCACGAGCCACAGCTGGGAGATGGCATGTGCCACTCTGCGTGGCAGGAGAGTCAGGGCCAGCTGTCTCTCCTCTGCACTGGCGAGCATGATCCCTCACTCTGTCTGCTGCACTTACTTCCTGCTAACACTTCAGAGCTTCTTGGGCTCAGAAGCTACGTATGAGTGGCAGCCTGTCACAGCCACAGACAAACTGTGCAGGACCGGCGGGGTGGAGCCTCACAGCTCTGGTGGGAACATACACGTACACACCCACACTCACACACACACTCACACACACACACAACCACATTCTAATTTTTTTTCTGACTGAAAATCAGAAGTGTGTCTTTGATATGACTCACTGACAACGGCACGGCATCTTGCTAAAAATGTACAACTTCCCCCTAATCTCAAGAAAACATCAGACCACCCCACATCGAGGGACATACTGAAAGACACCTGACTAGTACTCTTCAAAATGAATGAGGTCATGAAACACAAGGAAAAGACTGAGGACCCTTCACAGACTGAAGTGGACAAAGGAGACATAACAACTAAATACGATATGGGATCTGGACCAGGAAAAAAAAAAGTCTGTAAATTAGTCAATAACAGCTTTAGTGTTAATTTCCTCATTTCAGTGACTGAAGCATGATCATTTAAAATGCTGACATTAGGTGACTTCTGTACGGGAGCTGTATGTACTATTTTTGCAACCCATGTGCAAGTCTGAAAGGATTTCAATATTAAAAAAAAAAAACCCTTAAAACAGTGGGGGTAGTTAAAATAGGATTTATTTCATATCGTTGATATGAGAAAGGATAAGATGGTATGTTTTAAGTACTTCATGCAATGTCTGGTGGATGCTGAATATTAAATAACTATTAGTTGTTATTTAAAAACAATTTAAAGTGGAGGCTTAACTCACGAGTAACTCAGGTGCTAATCATTACATTTACTCACTTGAAGCTTGTACCGTTAAATCTGTGTGCCTATTTTTTCTGGTTTCTCACTTCATCACAGAGGGATAGTTAGCGATTTTTGTTACTCTGAGGAGCCAATATTTAGAAAATGAGGTGTTCAAGGCTTGAATCTGTCTAGAAGCCAGGCTGTTGCACGTGGGCTCAGGTCCACTTTTGGGATTCTTGATGTGAAAAAGTGTGTGAGAGGCTGACTTGGCTTGAATGCTCATGACTGAAAATTTTCCTCTCTTGACAGGTCAAAGGTGGCACTAACATCTCCTACTTATTGCAATTGATAAGTTTTTTCTTTTTAAATTTTGGATTTTCACATTGTTCCTTTTAGAAGAAATTTATCTATGTAAACGTAGTGAGTTGACTTAAAGAGATATGTTAAGTACATAATAATACAGGTGGCTCATGAATTGGGCAAAAATCATAAAGGTGGCACATGAAAAAAGGTCAGGAAATAAAGGCTTGGAATATTTCCCAATATTGTTGTTAATGAAGGAGCTTAAACTGTGTCCATTTCAAAAATACTAAGGAAGAAATATGGCTAGGGCAAAGACGCAATTTTCTTCTAATACTCTAAAAGCAACTTTGCCAAAAATAAAGAGGGAGACAAGGAGAAAACAATTTTATTCTTTAATACTTCAATTCTGTCCAGTGTAGGCATCAAGAGCGAAATTAAAATATGCAACAAGTCCAAAGGCTGATTTCAGGAACAGCGCCTGAGTATGCAGGAGTAACTACTCTTAACAGCCGTTCAATATTTGTTTCGCAAGGATCAATTATATACCATGGCTAATGCACCCTCGGAGTGTGCACCCAGCCACAGTACAGGTGGTGAATGCAAAACACACACCAAGAGTCCTTTTAAGCAGCTAAATGCACACGCCATTACAGATCCATAATGCAGAATGGACGTCCATCTGCAAATGGATTTAGAGCGAGGAGTTCTTAAATGGCTGAGGTACTTAGGGCTGAAAGGCCAATAACTGGATGGGCTGTCAGAGCCCACATGGTTTTTAGGATTAATAATACATTGACGTGTGTCCGTGTTAATACACATTTACAGCTCACAGGCCACGCAGCAGAGGGTTCAGCCCATTTACAGCCACATGCAAAGGACCATTCCGTCCTTCCTCTCATTAATGCCTTTGCTCCTAGGAAGATTAGATAACGCAAGAAAGGCCATTTGAACGATCCTGAGGTTTTCCCTCCTCTGCAGCGTTCTCTAGGAAGGGTGCTCAGCACGGTGACGGTGACGCACTCTGTCAGCCACCTTCCCTCCCATCATGGTGCCTCAGAGGCTGACTGAGCAAAGCACTCAAGGGTAGGAGCTCCAGCTCCACGGTCTACCTGGGGAGGTGTCCACATGCCATTAGAGTGTGCAGAGGCGACAGTCTGGTGGCTTCTAGCTCTCTTTTCCTTCTAGCTTCTCTATTTCCTGACGAGTTTACCAAAGCATTTGCATTATTTTGTGATAGAAGATATGTCCATACATGGTATCATTTAGGAATTAGTCTCATGCACGGGCAACCAAATCCAGAACTTCATGCCCAGGAAGTCCCATTCGCTTACCAGTCAACACTCAGAAGGCTGGGGACCGCCCATCTTTGAAATGCTGAGAATAACTGAAATGCAGTTTTCTCCAGCAACTGTGGTGAGCACAGGAAAGAGGAGTGGCACTGTTGAGCATTTAAGGAGTAGCTTTATTAACACCTGCCTCTTTCTCAGAGCATCCAGGCAGCATGGTCTTTTACAGGTGAGCACGTAAAACTATTATATAAATATGTAAATAAATATAAGGTGATATACATAAATAAAGATGGTAAGTATGAACCCTTTGTGGGAACACAACATATTCTCCTAAGAGCTATGAACCCTCTGAGGGAACACAACATATTCTGCTAAGAGCTCATCCCATGCTCACAAAGAATGTGTAAAGGAACCCCCCACTTTTCCGGAGGAGGAAATAGAGACTCAGACATGTTAGCTCCTTGGCTCCAGATCACACAGACCCTCAAGTGGCAGAGGTGGGATTCAACACAGGAGTGCCTGGCCCTTCCGCAAGGGCCCTGAACCCCTCCCTTGCTGCTTCTCAGACTGGGGTGTGACCTACTAGAGGGTGAGGAATCAACGTAGTTGGTTTCCACGGGAGCTTCTAAGTTCTGCTCTCTACTACGTTTGCCTCTAATAGAGCCCCTTGAAGGTTATGCTCAAGGTCTCCTGCAAGCTAGGTAGGCAGCCCCTAAGTCCCTGTTCTTGCAAGAGTCATTTTCTCTTATATTACCTTTCCCCCAAGAATCCCAGGGCCCCAGCAATTCTGTGCAAAGGAGTGTAGATAAATTAATAACACAATTTAAAACCAATTCCTTCAAGATAAATAGCGCTTCCTAGATTAAGAGTGTAGCTGGCCAGAATGAATGAAATTTACTAACCCTGAGATGCTTAATCTTCCATTACATAGAATTTAATGATTATAAGAAAGGAGTGATGGTAATTCACTTTTGCTTTTACAGGAATCCAACCATCTCATTTTTAGCAAATCTTTCTTCTCAGCAGACCTCGGTGCCAAGGATAACCTCCCTGCTCTTATAGGTATATCGGCCAATTGTCATATATTAAAGCCTGCTCATTGCTCAAGGGTTGGGCCTTCTAGCATGCATGAGCTTGCAAGCTGTCCCAGTAGAATCTCTCAGGGAGGCTTCTTTGGTGCCCCCTCGCTCTCCCCCTCAGAGAAGCCTATGCATTGTTTTCCAACCATAGCAGGGAAATAGTGGCAAGTACCTTTAGCACAGTCTGCTCCTAGAAATCCTGGGAAGCAGTGACACAGCCCAGACACACATTCGCCATTCCCGTGGCAGTTACGTGGACAGTCCTGCACTGAATCTGAAAAAGAGAGAAACTCAGCAACTACCTTTTCCTCTGCCTGCGGATGAAGAAAAGTCATCATCAACCGCCCACCATTTCTGAAGACCGGTGGGACTAAACCCCCAATACCCACAGGCACTGGCAAGAACGTGAGGGAGCAAAGGGAATGGGAAGTTAAGGGGACCAGGACAACTTGGAGAATGCGTGGAAGTAACCACCGCTCTCTATTTGACCAGCATCTGGGCAGGGATGCAGGGTAAGTACTGCTGCAACTCCTGTTCTTTCAGAAGAAACAACTTGTTTGGGTTTAAAAATCTGAAATTTCCCACGTCTGAATTTTGACAAGTTTAAAGCATCGTGAGTGCTGGCCCCCTCCCACTAAGCCCCTCCAATATCGGACTCTCAGTCTGAGATTTGGTCTGATATGTGTGATACTGAGCCTTTAGCCTCAGGTGCAGGGAATGAGTCTCCAAATGACAGTGGATGTTTCTGATCTCAGGTTTGTGGAGTAGAAAAAATTCTTGCTTTCAGGAAAGAAAAATCCAAATGTGTAAGACTGGCCAATGGAGGCATGCTTTGGGGTACATTAAGCAGTAGGTTTTAGGCTGTACAAAAGTCCTTTCGGGCTGACCTTTTGTACATCTTATTTTTCATGAAAATCAATTAGTTCCCATTTGTTCTAACCTGCATAGCCATCTTATTTCATGATTTACCTTTCTCTGTGTACTCTCAAGTCATCACTTCAAAGGGATCATTTAGGGACCTTTTTCATGTTGATTTGGGTCTACACGGACACAGGCATATTCTTTTAAAATTATTATTCTCATTTTTTTGCCTTAAACTAAAATAAACACATTCAGAATTTCAGGCTCCAAATTACTAAGATGATGAAAAGAAAAATCCAAGCTACTCTGCCCAGGCTGTGTGACCTCTACACAGCCCTGGGGAGTTGGGGTCACTGACTCAGTGATGTTGGCTGAAAGACTATCAAGTCAGATGGCTTCTAATGGAGCAACCTGAGAGCGGTGAAGGTCCTTCCCTTAAACAGGATTTCCCATTTATTCCCACTCCGTACTGAAAAACCAAACCTTGCATATATTGTTTTCTTTCCACAGTGTTTCCTTTCTCAGCTCTCTTCTTCCGGAACAAAGCAGTAGTTGTATTCTTGTATGCTGAGGAGAACTCAGTGAGCGTATCTGCTTCTTCAAAATCGGGCAGGACACCATACACTCTAGCAGACCAATTTATTTAATATTTATCAATTAACACTTCGGGTTGAAAGTCCTTGAGGTTGGCTCTACAGGTGGGCTGAGAAACATCCAAGTGGCTCCTGATTTCCATCTATTCATCGTGCATTCATTCATTCAAGAAGCTTTAGGTTGAATCATGAAACAGTTGCTTGGGCAGGCCAAAAATCAGCAATTTCACATGATTTTCGGAGACCATTCTCCATGTCTCCAATTCCCCATTCATGTTTCTCAATGTCTTGTGAGCCAAGACACCGACTGCCATAGTTCTGGACTATCTTTTCAAGGTTGTCTGCATAGTGAACCACATTGGAGGACAGATATGGTGTCTGTCTCCAGAGCAAAAGACGGGTTTGCTTACTCCCCAGTGTAATAAAGGTAATATCTTACTCTAGTGCAAAGAACAGGCAGGCTCACCATTGACTCTGAGAAACTCAGGTGTAATAAACTCAGGATTTCCCCTCTGTAATGCAATCCATTGCATGTGTCGGTAATAGCTGACCCTGTTGATGCTGCCCTGTAGGAACTGGGGCTTGAGGGACTGGCACATTTACCAGAATCTAGATATTGCCTTACTCTAAGTAATAAAGGCCCTTGTCTTTGACCCAGGAGTTTCATGTCTTCTGATAATATCTATGAAATTGTGGCAGGCTGACATATTAGCTTACAATTAGGGTGAGCTCTCAGAACTGTCACAGTTCCTGATGTATGGCTCACTTTATTAACTAGAAACCTATTATTTGCAAGGCATTATAACAGGCATTGGTGAATCCAAGCGGATAGGTGAGTTCTCTGGCCTCATAGAATTTTCACTGTCATAGACAATACAGGCTGATATATATATATATTGATTCTGTGACCAATGGAAACAAATAGTTTTAAACATAGAAACGGCACTGTCTAGCTCGCATTTTAAGAAGTCCCCCCTACAGCGAATTAGAGATTGCTTCTCCCTAGACCAGCATCTAGGTCTGGGGATGGTTTGGTGGAAACTGACATCTGTGAGCCAGACCTCCCTGTTCCCAAACCTAACATCTTCAGAGACAAAGCAGCAGAGGCTGAGGGAGCTCTTTCCCCACCAGAGTCGCACAGAGAGGGACCGAGCTCTTTGCATGGGCTCTTTGTGGGGCTGGAAGGCCTCCTTGCCCTTTAGCTGAGGTATTTATCCTTCGATGTCAGTTTAGGAAATATGTACCTTCTGGGCACCTTCCTTCCTCACCTTCCCTCAATCAGGAAAGGTTTTGTACCCCTACTCTATGCTCTTGTAATTCTTATGGTTGCCTTTTCATGTGTCTTTCTTCCTCCATCAGGCTCCATGAGGAAGAGACCTGATTTGAATCATTCACTGAGGTATTCTCAACTCTTGGCACACAGCAGGCCCTTGGTAAACAGCTGTCAGAGTGTGTGTGTGTGTGTGTGTGTGTGTGTGTATGCAGGTAGGGTAGGAGAATCGCAAATAAGCAAAAACTGTGACAGAGACTATTTTTCATGGCCTTCTCCCAGTATTTCTACAGTTTTTGAGAGAAAGAACAATCCCACGGTCTGGCTTAACTGTGCAAGGGACCCCGTCCTTCCGGTGGCCATATTATCAGTTTTCCTTTCTGTCAGCCTGGTTTAGGTTTTCTTGAGGAAACAATGGCAGGTGCTGAGAGGCAGCCCAGGAAATGGGGTTTTTACGCAGGCGGAGGGCGGCCTCCACGACACCCGCACCGTGCTTCAAGTATGCCACTCTGTTGTCCCCTGAGATGAAACTCATTTCTGAAAGCAGGCTGCTTCTCTCCAAAACACATCAAAAGACTTCCTTGAGTCAAAGGTATATTTAGCGTGATCGCTGGTTGACACCCGTCTAACATTTTCCCTTCTGTTTCACATCATAGGAGCTTTTGGCGCTCCTGGCTGCTCTTGATGGAGAACGTTCTGATAATAGATACGTGTGGGAGAACCTCTGAACCAAATAAAACACTGTTCTTTTCCCTGCATTTCAGGCCAATTACTATCATTGCTCTATCAAGATGTCTGCCCAATTATTAGGCCGATTACCTTTGACTTGCTCTTTGAGTTACAGTCCAGACGAGAGAGATCCTCTGGGGAGAATTGCTATTCCCATCTCTGAACGAGAGTAATGGCCTGGGGGAAGGGCATCTCACTACTGCAACATCTGTGTCTATGTGGATAGAGGAGATGGAGGGCAGAAGCCATTATTAGATAATCTGGCCCCCAGAAAATTTGTTGAGCAGGGGAAAAGGCATTTATTTGGCAGGAATCCAGAGCAATCCAGTGGTTAAGCACAATTCTCTGGAGAGTTTGGATGCTGACTCCACCCCCCAATTACCACGTGTGACCTTGGGCAAGTTGCTTAACTTCTCTCAGTCTTGCTTCTCAAGTAGAAAATGGAGTGCTGGGAGTACCTCCCTCACGTAACTACTCTGTGGGTTTGCCAGCCTCGTCCCCACAGAGGGCCTAAGTCAGAGGCTGGCCCCCGGTCTGTGCAGCATACATGTGTGGTGGGTGGTGGTTGTCGTTGGTGGTGGGTGGTGGTTGTCGTTGGTATCATTATCCATCTCACTGAGTCCTTGTAGACTCCAACTAAGCCAGCTGCTGTTTATGGCGTGGGCTCTTAAGGATGTTCGAAGAGTTTTCAGTTAAATACAAGGTGACAAAAAGGATGTCATTTCTCATCATGTTCTTAAACTAAAGACTGCTTTTAATCTCAACATCTCAAACTATTTTTTTTTCCTTTTGTGAGTTGATTTTTAATCCTTTTTGCTTTCATTCCCCCATGGATCCATAATCTGCTTCTGGAAATTTTCTCTAACCATGGAAGATGTTTTCCAGTGGCTTCCATGATACAAAGTTTATGACATTAGTTGGGAGCAGGGGTTGGGAAACTTTCGCTGTAAAGGGACAGAAAGTAAATATTTAGGATTTGCTGGCCAAGCTGTCTCCATTGCAGCTACTCAGCTCTGTTGTTTTAGCTGCCATAGACGATATGTCAGCAGATGAACATGGCTGGGCTCCAGAAAAACTTTATTTATAAAAACAGGCAGAGGGCCAGACTTAGCCCATGGGCTATAGTGTGCCAAACCCCTGCCTTTGTATATTTGGCCAGTTCGGATAGGATCCAGTTTTCCTTGGCAGAGGGAATGAGGGTTAACTTTAACACTACGGTCACTACCAAATCCTGATTTTAGACCATTTGAAAGTTGTGGCTACTGATAAAAAAGTGCATCCTGAATTTTAACTTGGCTTCCCTAGCTCTTTCAAGAATCGAGGAACCCTTCAGAGAAATCCATGAGACCAGTAAAGAAGTTCTGAGGATCTGGTCAATAGGAAAATAGCTGTATGCGATATGCTCCTAAACAACCATCTGCTCTCATTCGGTGGTGACCCACGCCATGGCAGATGTGTTCCGGATGTAAAGTTCCGTCATTCTTCCTGTCAGGGACGTGGTCCTTTTCACAGAGGAAGCTGAGGCTCCAGGGGGTAAGTGACTTTCCCAGTCAGGATGTGGGACAGAAGAGTTGGGATTTGATCCTCTCTCACCAGGTCTCTCCTCGTAACACCACTCCTTCGGTGAACCTTAAGATCCACGACCCAACCCTGTGGGGATGACATGCCCAGAGGCCCAGAATCCCATCCATTCCTACCATGTCCACATCCTGGGACTTGGAGGGACCGAGTTTTCTGAGTCTCAGTGGATTTTTCTGTGAAGTGTGTGTAACACGCTGCCCCAACTCACGGACATTCTACCCAGGATCTGTTATCCTCATCAGGATAACAACCTAATGACAACATACATTGAATGAAAGTATCTGCGGCTTATGTGATTGTTAAAATTCTTAAGGTTTGCTTTAGAAAACTTCATAAAATCCTCTCAAACTAATGGCCCATTCAGGAGTTTGTATGCACATATAAGAGGAAATTTTGAATAAAAGCATTGCTTCTCCTTTAATAGCTAATAAAAAAACAGGGCTAAAACATGCCAAAAATGACAAGTGTTTAATTAAAACATTTTGAGATTTACCTACTTGGGAACAAAGATATGATTTTTTTTCCTTATGTCTATATCCTTTTCTTGATTTATTTTTATGTGGGTCTTTTTTTTTTTTTTAACTTTTGATTTTAAGCTTTCCTGGATTTTCAGAGAAATTCTGAGCTGATGTGAATGGTCTGTATTTATTGGCTCTACTGCATATTTAGAGTGTTATATACCGTATATTATTTAATTCCTACAATTAGCCCTATGTGGTGGGTACTAGTTAGTTCTTTTTTACTGTGAGGAACCCAAAGCTTACAAAAATCCACTGATTTGCATAGGTTGTGCGGCCAGGACTTGAGCCAGCCTGTCTGACCCAAGCTCTTGACCACGACTGGATCCTGTAAGTAGTCTCCCTGTTTTAATCTGGGCTAGTTTTAGGTGGAAAATACCATGAGGCCTAAATAAAGGATTCTGGTCTGGTGTCCTACACGGTAGAAACTACATTGGAAGATGATTTTCTGTGGAAAAACCTAGAATGTTTCCATTCTTTCCTTGGTGGCATTATCACTCAGAGACCTCATACCTACCTAAGACAACAGTGTTGAAGGAAACCATCTCTTTGTCTTTGCCATCATTGTAGAAGGCCAGGTGCCACAGGCCCACGTCCAGGTACTGTACAAACACGGCTTCATTCTGCACCAGGGTCTGTATGCTCCGGCGTTCCCTGGGTGACTCAACCACACTCCACTTCTCCTTCCCATCCAGACGCTCCATGAAGTCATACTAGAGTAAGAAGAAAGAGAACCCCATGTGTGAAAGAGGTGGCAGACCTGGTCCCATGACTAGCAGCTTCCCCTCCCACCCCATTAGTTAGCTAAAAAATACTTTTGAGCACTTTTTACTGTGAGCTCATCCAGTAAAAAAGAAGAGTCAGAAAAGTTGTAACAATAAGTCACCATTTATTGTGCTTATAATTATTGCTAATAGTTTTATTACTATAGGCACAATCCCTTTTCTGCTATTTGAAATCCAAAAAGCTTTAAAGCCAAAACTTTTATGTTTTCTCTAGTGTGTGTGAGAGAGACAGAGAAACAGAGGGAGGGAGGGAGGTTATTGTTCCAATCTCCACTGGGGTGTTATATAATACCTACTATATGCCAAGTATAACTTTCTTGGAAGTCCCAAAATTCTGGATTCCAAAAATCATCTGGCTTGGCAAGAGTTTCAGATAAGGAATTACAGACCTGTGTTACCGGCTATCATTTACTGATCATCTACCAGGGGGAGGAGGCATAGTAGATTAGTTAAGAATGAGGGTGGCTCAGTTGGTTAAGCGGCTAGCTTCGATTCAGGTCATGATCTCAGGTCCTGGAATCGAGCCCCACACTGGGCTCCTTGCTGAGAGGGGAGCCTGTTTCTCCTCTGCCTGCCATTCCCCCTGTTTGAGCTTGCTGTCTTCCTCTCTCTCCCTCTCCCTCTCTCTCTCACTTTCTGTCAAATAAATAATAAAAAATCTTTAAAAAAAGAATGAGGGTTGTGTCTACTATGTTGTACATATGAAACTAATGTAACACTGTATGTCAACTATACTTCAGTTAAAAAAAAAGGATGAGATCTGTGCAGCTAGACTAACTGGGAGAGAATCTCTCACCCGCTCTACCTATCTGTGCCTCAGTTTCCCCATTTGCAAAACAAAAAATAATAGCATGTATGTTACAGGTTGTTGTGAGAAATAAGATAATACTTGGAAAAGTGCCTGGCACAGAGCAAACACAAAATATGTGTCAGCTAGCGATCATCATCACTGCCATCATCATTTCATTCTACTCTTGCAAAAACCCTAAAGATAAGTACTCTTTGTATCTCATTTTGCAGATGAGAAAACTGAGGTGCAGAGAAGCCAAACAACTTGTCAAAAGTCACACAGCAACTAAGTGGCCAAGCAAAAAGACCTAGCTCTCTCAGATTAACCAGCAATTAAATATGAAATTCTGTTTCAGTGGAAAGTGGGCTCCTAACTAGAAGGGATCAATGAGAGACAGAGTGGCCAATGAAGGCTACCAAGATGAGGGGGAATGGAGGGAACCAGTGTGACCCAAGAGATTGGCAAAATCTGCTGGTGGGTTAGTGGGAGCCACTGACGATCTCTGAGCAGTGACTGATGCAACGAAAGGACTGTTTTGAGGAATTCATTTGCAGACAGGATACAGCAGAGGGGAAAATGAAAAGAACCAGGAAGACCAGTTGGGGAGTGATTATAGAAGCTCAAGTATGTCACGACAGGGGTCTTGGTCAAGATAGTCAGTGAGGAGAGGAGACAACTTTGGAGGAATATTTTTAAGAAAGCCCACCCCTTGACCGTGGGCTGGACAGAGGGGATGAGGGAAAAGGCAGAGGACACCAATGTCTCTTACTTGTCGACAAGAAAATCGATAAGACCCCTGTAGAAATGGGCTAATCTTATGAACTCTTTCAAAATCACTGCATGGAAAAGTCAGTTGCACTGTGACTTCCAGAGAACATTCAAAGCACAGGTCTGTAGCAGATAAAAAACCACCACTGTGGGATTAAGCTCTCTCTCACCACTTCCCCTCCATAAAAAGGATTTTATAGGTTACAGACATTGACTATAACCTCTTTCATGAACTTCATAGAATTAAACTCCAGGAATCTATTAATGAGACTTCCCCATGATCAGAATTGCCAGTTTTTCCCATCTGAAACGTGATCATTGAAAACAAAGAATCTGTAATCCGAAGTGCAAAGGCTTTACCATCAGACAAAGGAGGGTTTGAATTCTGACTGCTACTTGCTATTGTTTGAAGTTGGGTCAATCAACTTTTAGCCTTTTCCTGGTTTGCATACTAGGTAATAATACTTGATTTTTGGAGATGTTCTTTTTTTTTTTTTTTTTAAAGATTTTATTTATTTATTTGACAGACAGAGATCACAAGTAGGTAGAGAGGCAGGCAGAGAGAGAGGGGGAAGCAGGCTCCCCGCTGAGCAGAGAGCCTGATGCGGGGCTCGATTCCAGGACCCTGGGATCATGACCTGAGCCGAAGGCAGAGGCTTTAACCCACTGAGCCACCCAGGCGCCCAGGATGACATGACATAATGCTTCGGGCAGTGCCTGGAAGGTACTAACCATGTTACTAAGTACCTCCAGACTATGAGTTACTTATTTGCAAATCATAAGGATCAGAGAAGAGAAGTAGATGGTTCCAGTTTTTCCATCTGGGGGTGGCAGACAGCTGCTTAGGAAGTGGAAATTTCCTCAGAAAACGAGTATTTGTTTTTTAGCTTTCCTCTACCCCATATCCCACTGGTCAGGGGTGTTTTATGGGATAAAAGAAATGATACGCAGTGATACATCAAAACAGTGCTGCTTTCAGAGACCTTTGTAACCAAAGCATTTGTTTCTTAGCAACCTCGTAATGTCCAACTACCCAGACCCATGTCTATAAATTGCTGTCAGCCAGAGGAATGAGCCTAACTTCCTCGGTGCTTAGGTGAGAAGAATATACTTCATTTGGGGTCCAGAAAATCACCCCCATGAGAAAAGTTGGGGGAAGGTGATTACTTGTGTGGGGTCATTGCTCATTATTAATTTGGACATCAGTCATCTCTCGCTGAACTGGCCGGCTGGTCAAGAACAGAAATGACTTAGAACCAGCAGCAGTGCTCACTGTCCAACCAATCAAATGGCTCTGGGCAAAGGTATTGTCAGAGGAGAGAGGAGACATCTATTTTCGCTGGCTCTTCCAAGTCACTCCAAAGCAGCAGTGGAGGGCAGTTTTCATTAAAGAAAGACTCTGCAAGCCAGGGGCTGTCAAACAGGGTATGGGGACATGCCGGTGTGAAATAACAGTGTCCAATGTGCCTCAATCCTCTACCCTTTAATGTGCTTTGCTTTTCTCAAAACACTCGTCACTCTCTACACTGATATGATCTGTTTTTATGCGTATTGTCAGTCTATTGAGAAGAATGTAAACTCCAGGAGGGCAGGGGTTTTGCCTGCATGGCAGAATGGTTAAGTGGACTTCAGAGCTGGGGCCCCTGGGTGGCTCAGTTCGTTAAGCATCTGCCTTCAGCTTAGGTCATGATCCCAGGTTCCTGGAATGAGCCTCCTATCTGACTCCCCGCTGAGCAGGAAACCTGCTTTTCCCTCTCCCTCTGGCCCTCCGCCTACTTGTCCACTCCTGTGCTCTCATTCTCACTCACTGTCAAATGTATTAAAAGCTTGGGGGGAAAAAAGACTTCAGAGCTGGAATCCCAGCACTGCCACTTACTTCTTGCCACACTTGCAAAGGATATTTAAGTTCTCTGTGCCTCAGTCTCCTCATCCTTAAAATGGGGACAATAATCACATTTCTGTCAAAACACTATCGTAAGGGTTGAGTGAATCAATTCATGCGCAGTGCTTAGAATCGCACTTTGTGTGCAGTGAACAAGCCCCCAAGGTGTGAGCTACCGTTATCATAATTCACTGCCATCCCTCATTTATCTCAAGCAGAGTCTGGTCAGTAAATATTAAATATCAAATGAATAAAATACTAAATTCATAAATAAGTTCCACCAAAAAGAAAAAAAATTGGAATATGGTCCAGGTTTAGTCTTTCAGTAATAATCACTTGCACTCCCTAATGTGCTTTCTTTCACGCAAGAGGAAGGGGTAGCGTTACAGTCTGGGAGGCTGAATCAGGCAACAGCCGGTGCAGAACACACCTATGATGGGACGTTGTGGGTGTTTGCACATTCACATATATTAAGATTTGAAAGGTGACTTTATAAGGCCGTAATGACATCACCTCTCCAATTCTCAGTGGGCTGTTGGAAATGCCTGCTTTCTTCCCTTGTTCCTTCTTTTGTCTTCCCTTCCCACTTTGATACTGTTTCTTAGTGTCCTCTGTGGGAGTGATGGCTGACCCTTGTCCATATCAGGGTCTCACTCTTTTCCAGGCTCCTTGCTGCCAGGTGGGAGCACGTGGTAGTGTTCAGTCAATGGAACTTAAGTAGTGGGATGAGCTACTTCTTCTAGATCCTGCCGTAGAATATCCGGTACAACCTCCTACTGCTCTCTCTCCATCCCTCTCTGCCTCTGAAAGGTGCCGAAACCGCCATCAAGCCCACAATGGGAGAGCCACAAGACAGGAATGGCCTGGATCCTAGCATGAACCCTCGCAGGAAGGCTAAAATTATGACACGAGCAAGCAGTTAACATTTCTTAAATGGAACCACTGAAATGTTGAGACTTCCTTGTTACTTCAGCATAGCCCTCAGAGATCTCTGGATGTTATGCTTCTCCTTTTTCCCAGTTCACTCGCCGAGAGCATGGAAGCTTCCAGCATACTTGCCATGGCGTCAAGCCCCAGCCTATTATGTGTGGGGTGTCTGTTTACCCCTGTTTGCCCAGGGGTGTCCTACTTGACACCTCTTGTTCCTCCTTCCACTCCAGAAAGTGCTCCGGTCTGGATGATATGTTCCCCGACTCTCAGACGAACAAGTGATAAGCAGCGTCACGGAGCGCCACTGAGGGCCGCTGTAACCTTGGGAAGGGTTGGAGGCTAGAAACACGAGATAGATCAGTGCAGCCAACTGCCGACATGGCCTTCTAGGGCACGGGTGTGGGAGCTCAGGAAGAAGCCTGTTTGCAGGGAGGCCGTCGGGTCCAGGAGAGCCCCTGCTCTCTCGGATTCCTAGACTGCAGTCTGGCCGGCTTGCTTGGAAGGAGGCCATTTTCCAACGGCACAGGCCCTGGCCAGAGTTTCTTCTTCATGTCCCAG